CCACAACTTCGGATCGCGCTCCGATTCTTCGCTGTAAAAACGACTTTCGGGTGCTCTCGAGCCAAAGAGAGCGAAAGCGGAAGCAAGCTAACAAAAAAGTGAGTAATTTAACATAGATTAGAATTGAGATATTTTACCCTTTGCTAACGGGAGAAAGGCATTTAAGACAGCATTTTAATAGAATTTAATGAATATTTCTATCGAATAAATACGATTAGAATATTTATTATTATACCAAGTCCCCAAAAACCTGAGACATTGCATAAATGACATGTGTTCTACTTCTTATGGAACAAGTTCTTAATATTTCGCAACATTTGTGGCTTGTAACCAGGCCGCTTACCCGTACCCTCCCCCACTCACTCTTCTTACTCCCACCCACACCCCTGTACAGCTGTGCACCAGAATTTCTGAAATGTTTGTACATTTTAGCGAACCTAAACGTAATTTTCATACAACAAAATTACCGCAAAAAGCTAAAAGTCAGCGGTAAATATTTTGTGGAGAATTGGCGCTGATGGAGCAGAAAAATACCCTATGAAGAAATGTGAAAGAATTAGTTCAAGCCACTTACTGCCGACTAGACAGATTCCAGTGTCTATATAAACTAGGGAATCGATGGAGAAAGGCATCAGTCACCTTTGGTCACTTCCAACAGCTCCAACCAGCTTTTCTTCAGCTTCCAGCTTCAATCTTCAATCACCAAATCTTCAATCAAGATGAACTCCTTCGTGTGCTTCGCTCTCCTCGCTCTGGCTGCCACCGCTCTGGCCACACCCACCAATGTTGGATCTTCGGCCACCAGCGGCTCCACCGTCTCCCTGTCTGCTCAGGATGGCGAGGTTGAGGGCATCACCAACCAGGGCTACGGCGATCTGACCCGTCTGCGCAAGTCTGCCTACGGTGGCAGCTCCAGCGGCGGCAGCTATGGTGGCTCCAGCATCCCTGCCCCACCCTGCCCCAAGAACTACCTGTTCAGCTGCCAGCCCAACCTTGCCCCAGTCCCATGCAGTGCCCCCGCACCTAGCTACGGATCCGCTGGTGCATACTCCGCCCCGGTGGCCACCTATGTCGCACCCAACTATGGCGTGCCCCAGCACCAGCAGCAGCTCTACAGCGCCTATGTGCCCCAGCAGTTCAATGGCTACCAGTACTGAGGATCGATCAAAGGATCGATCCCATTAATGGAACACGAATACGACTGTCGAACTAAACACACAAAAATCTTTTGCCAGGTTTTCAGAAAATGACAAAAAAAATATTTATTGCAAAAATTAAAACCACAAAAAAAAACTTAATGTAAAATAGTCTATTTATTCCCCCCAAACATGGTTCCTTTATGCATCCATTAACAGAACCAGAAAATTACAGTCCCTACAGTAGAACATCCATTTGACATTTGGCACTGAATAACACAGTGAATCAGTAGAAACGTGAATGCTCTTCCCACCCTCATTTCTGAAGAGATATTTCTGTCTGAATTTCCTTACTGTGTTACCTTAGGTTTATTATTGAACAATTGGGGATATTGTACATATGTATGTATATATGTATGTATGTATGTATGTATGTATGTCATATGTATGTAACTAAAATACAAAATAATAATGGCAATCTGTTGGGTGTGAGCAGCTTTTACAGAAAGCAATTTCAACTAATTATATTTATATAATAAATATCATTATTTTCTACTGACACTCATCAGTCAAAAGTATTATGGCACTGTGCCACATGCCACAGGTCCATATTTATCTAAACATGAGTCGTCTACCCTTGTGCTTTAATTCTCAAACGCGTATCTTCCTGGGACCTCTTGCAACTAATTGACTTCAGCCATCTTCGACCATCTACACCATCTACTAATAGACAATTTCTTCGCATAAAAATAATTTCTAAGGGCTCTTCCTTTAGTTGAAACGGTTAAATATAACAGTTAGATCGCTTCACTACTTAGTTTTGAATTCCATTATGCCTCCTGATTTTAGTTTCTAGTCTAATTTATAAGTCTCCTCCAAAAGTACCGCCATACTCAAACATTTCTTCCGTCAAAATATTCAATTTGTAAATTAAACTTTTTTAATTGATTTGATTTATTATTATTTTTTTTGTTTATACTTGCACCCTGTTTCTAATGTGTACATTTCAGGCTTTCCAAAAAGGTATCGATCGCTTGGTCAATTCGGAAGACCGTAAGGGTCTCCAAAATAGTTGTGAAAGTGATGAGGTGCGAAACTAATATTTTATTGAAAACATCTGTATGTACCAATCCAAGATTTTCTGAAAGATATGAAGCTTTGAAATGCCAGAACTTTTTATTATGAATCTCTAAAAACTGGTATTTTTTGTTAAGCCTTTTTTAGAGGTAGGTTTCACTTAACTTAAGTAGCTCGCATCTGATTGTAATGTAAACAAAAATAAAAAAGCGAATAAATGCATCTACAAGTGTACCCAATTTTGTGGTTTTAGCTTATCGTCTCGAAAATTGTAAGCTTTGAAAGAAGTTTTGACTTTAAAAACTGAGACAATTTTAATGCCCCAACTCTATCAGAATAAATAGGGTTGTTTCTTTGTGGAAATAAGAAGTCATATTTTGTCGAGTAAACCCATTTTTATAGATCCCAAACAATAGAAAAAACTAAAGAAAGTTTAGATATGCTTAAATATTAGTCTTCTGTGTGCATTCGTAGTTACAGTCTTCTAAAACAATTTGATATACTCTGCCTAAATAGCGTATAAACTAAAACGCAAGCAGGTTTACCTTTAAATTATCTACTAAGCATTTATTTCTTTTTTAAGCAGAATTAAATGATTTAATCCCTATTTTCGTGCGGGGTCTCTGAACCCCAAAAGTGAATGCTGCAAAAAAGAGCAAACAACAATTAATTATATAAAGTTATTTGGCATATTGCAACACATCCGCCGCACCAAATCCACGACCCAAATCCACGTGCAAAAAGGGGAGAACTGTGTAAGTGGAAAGTGGAAAAGTGCAAACAGTGTAAGAAATACGATATCCCGTACAAGATCCCAATCAACTGGTTGAATGAACAGACGGGAGACCAGGCGACAACAAATGCAACAATTGCTGACCTTCGGGTTTCAGGTGGCACATAAGGTTTCGCGCAACAGAAAGCTTTAAGAATAGTAAGTTTCCGACCAGGGCATGATTAGGATGTGTACGCACCTTCTTATAGCAGGAACTTTAATGGCCATGACGTTCTCCAGCTCCCATCTTTAGTTGTTTGCCCTAAAATTGTGTAAATTTGATCGATCTTTAGCCTCTGTTTTCCGCTCTTTGGAATTTTGCCACATTTCTCCCTCTTTGAACTCCATTCTTTCCGCTAGATATGTGCCACCCACTAACCCCAATTTGAGGGATGGAATGGTGCACACTGGAGCACACCTTGTCCCCATTGTTGCAAGTGTCTCTCTTTATCTTTCGCTTTTCGCATGGCATTGCACTTTCCACTGAAAATTCATAAAAACCCACTGACCATCGCCCCAATCGCCGGAGTCTCAGTTTACATCTCGCGGCAAGAGTAAATCCATCAGCAAACCGAGAATGTGGAAGTATCTGGTTCTCTTCTGGGGGCTCTGTCTGTTTGGCTGCAGTGTGGCACCATGTCAGGGCTATACCACTCGCTGTGTGCGAAGCCTGCCCCTGCCGCTCTATCATTTCATACCCGTCCGCCTCTACACGCCGCAGTCGCTGCTCGAGGGACTTAATCAGGAGGATTCAGAACTGCTGCGAGAGCGAAGACAACAGCAGATCGTACAGGAGGTCATTGTAGAGAATAACTTTGGTGGAGGATTTGGAGGGCCTTCGTTTGGACCGCCCCCGTTCGGACGCCCTTCGTTTGGCGGTGGAGGCTTTGGGCCTGGCAGATTCGGACCTGGTCGAGGCGGCGGTGGATTTGGAGGAGGTTTTGGTGGATCATTTGGCGGTGGCTTTGGCGGTGGATTTGCTCGCAGTTACAACCAGGAGGAAGAGAAGGCGCAAGTGCCTCAATATAGCGCGCCTGCTGCTCCAAGTGCTCCCCTGTATAGCGCTCCGGCTGCTCCATGTGCTGCTCCATATTCTCCTCCTGCTGCTCCCCCTGCTCCCCCTGCACCCCCTGCTCCCAGTGGCATCACCTCGCCGGAATGCCCAAAGAACTATGTCTTCTCCTGTGAGGCTGTCATCAAGCCCGTGCCTTGTGCTGCTGCCAGCTCTTGTAGTTATTGAGAGAAACAAATGACTGACTAATAAAAAAAAAAGATTTTAATGGGAATTATTAATTATTCGTACGGAATTTACGGGAGGGAATCAATTAAGTGGTGCAGAGATCTCGAATATGTGAGATCGAACAGTGTAAAAGTTGGGCAATAAAAGCGGAAATAAGTCTGTCTTTATCTTCTTTAATCGATACGGTTATAATATAAGTATCTTTGACTGTTTAAAGGGCACGTATCGGTTACCGTATTTACCATGACGTAAGGATCCATGATATATTGATATTTAATCCCAACAGCCAAATGATTTATCTAGTTCTGGGCCCTTAGGTTCCTCACAATTCCCTAGAGATTTCTCCTGAAAATCTTCCCAAGATTTTCGTTGATGAAAATCTGATAGACGATATAATTATATACATTTTTTTCGTAGTTTCTATACATCTGGAAAATATAAAAACATTTTTCACAAATCTTTCGCTTTGGCTATTTCTTTATATAAAAATGTAAACCACACAGAATGTATCTGCAATCAATTGCTTTTCAGATTTATTATCTTGAACAATGCTGTAATTAGATAGCTGGACTATACGTCCCTTTAAGTTCTTCAATGGCAGCTGAAAAAAAATTAAAAAAGTATCTTCAAACATTGAATAAATTTGTTCCATCAGAATAGAATTGTTCCGAAAATCGAAGGATAAGGAAAAGATCTGCTAAAACCAAAGAAAAATATGTTCAAATGAGAATCTTTTCAGATCTTCCTCAAATAATGGAATAAACACACAAAATTATTTCGTATAAACGTATGATTTTATTCAGAGATGGATTCAGTGTGTTGTCTTTCGGAGTGGAGTCCTTACAAGAATTCCCTGACATAGGGCACGGCGTACTGTGGCACATACTGCGAGTAGGCGCCCGAGGAGCCATAAGATGGAGCTGGAGCCGAGCAGGGCACGGGCTGCAGAGAGGGCTGGCAGCTGAACAGATAGTTCTTGGGGCACGGCGGCGATGGGATGCCAGCGGGGGCGGAGTACGATGGAGCAGCGGGTGCGGAGTACGATGGAGCAGCTGGGGCGGAGTACGATGGAGCAGCTGGGGCAGAGTACGACGGAGCAGCGGGTGCGGAGTACGATGGAGCAGCTGGGGCGGAGTACGACGGAGCAGCTGGGGCGGAGTACGATTGGGCGGGTGCAGCAGGTGCAGAGTATGAAGGAGCAGCAGCTGGGGCGCCATAGCCACCGCCATAGGCGGCTCTCGACACACGGATATTCTCGGCCAGTGGTGCCGGGATGAGGATGCCCTGCGTCGGCTGCAGCTGGATGGTTTCACCGGCAACGGCGGCCACGATAGCGGCAATGAGGAGGAGGTTACCCATGTTGAAAGCCATCTTAGAGGAGAGTCTTTTTGCCTGTCTGTACTTTGCAAACGAAGAAGGTTGACTGTTGGCCAAGTTCTCTGCTGGAACGAATTTTATAGCCCTCTTCCGAAAACTGCACACATGGAAAAACTGCATATGGAAGCAGCAGTCTGCTGCGGCAGTCCGTTCCATGGCCAAAATGCTGACAATTCCAGAACCTAAAATTGATGGTCTGAAGTTCTTTTCGATTCGCCGTGGAGGTAACACTTGGAATCCAAATACAACACCACATTTCGCGATGATCTATTACTGGCTACTGCTGGCTTCGATGACCTTAAATCTGATGGCTGGCTGTGCGGTGGGGGCTTCCGCATCGATGGCACAGTTTCTGGAGCGACCCCATGAGGCGGCGGAGCAGAGTTGGTCCTATCTTTTGCCCACAAACTACTATTCGGAGATAAATCAGCAGTATTATAGAAGATTTCGCAGGAGAGCGAACCTTAAGAAAGGTTTTCCCCAGCCATACAGATGGTATCCCTATGAATATGCGAGATATCTATGAATAAACATTGGAATATGGAAGAGTTATAAACATATATCAAATAAATGGGAGATTTTCTCTCTTAATAAAGAGTTTAAAGTTTGAAAGTTATCATATGAAAAGAATGATTCGACGAGTACCGGGTATAAAATTGGTTTTCGAATGCTAAAATGGAAACTTCTTTTTGAAAGGTTGTTCTTTAAAATACCAGTATTTGCGAACGTTTACCAACACCCATCGCTTATCGATAATCGTTTGCTAGTCTCCCAACAGCGCATGACCGCTTGAAGGACGTCACAACCGTTTGACGTCACTACGGTCGATGGACATCAGACACAAACAAACCCCCAGGACAACCAAAAGGCTTGACATTTGGACAACGCACAGAAGACAGAAAAAACAAACATTTAAGGACATCTGAAGACTGAAAATGAAGCTCACACGCGGACGTTACACATATCTATTGATGCTTCAACTGGCACTACTCGCTGGAGATTTGTTCTTCAATGCTTTTGGGGCATCACTAGCCAAGAATCATCTACAGACATCCATCTTTTTCTTTGTGTGAGTACAACAAAGGAGTAAAGTATACAGTTTTCTTTACGGAAAGTAATTTCCTTATGCAGCACCCAGGACGTCTTGATTATTGTCGAGTATTTGCTCTTCACTTTGGCCCTGCATTCGACGTGTGTCTATCAAGTGGGAGCCTCGCATATTATACTCAGGAATTGCAAGCTCTTTTTGGGCAGCATTACCATATATTTTCTGCTCTCGGCCTCGCAGCATTTCTGGATCATTTATCAAAGACGATTGTCGCCGGGTGAGGATCAGAGTGGTCAGGAATGGCCTTTGGGTCTCTATGCCTTGGCTGTTGTCCATCGGATAAGTGAGTTTCGAGGATGCATCTTAAAGGCAGCATTAACTAATGGTTTTTCTACCCGTTTTTTTTAGTGTCGGTGTTCTATTATTATAGTTCTAAATCGACAGCTTTGACCATGGCAGATCCACGCTATAAGGAGGAACATCTTGATTGGATTGCAGAGCAATTGGGGGATAAGTAAAGGGAGGAATTCAAGGATATGTGTGTGTACATTGGTAGAATGTTAGATAGGAGAAGTAAGGAGCAAAATTAAAGACGATTTAAGGAAAAATGTGGGTAATTTGTGTATAAAATTAAGTCCACAAATTAGAAGAAATGTAGATCCAAAATTGTGATGAAAATGCGAATAGTAATGTATGTAATAAATGTACATATACATTATTAGATATTTAACTGCTGTACAAATAAAAAAAAAAGATTAAGCTATATTACAAACAAAAGTGTTTTTTAAATAGATAGTTCTTACACTTTCAATATTTTCTGATGACATTTTCCACGAATTTCTGTTATTATTTTAATACACGTGTCGCCATCTGTTAGCAAACCATCTGGACTTGTAGGCAGCGCCATCTGCTAAAATTCATGCTGACTTATTAATAAATTCTTCACTAAATCTAATTTTTAGGCAATTATATTGAAAAACAGCAGAAATAACCATGCCATAATGATTCTCAAATTTTTTCAAATTATATTTTAAGGATTTTTATACCAATCATTGCCTAAATCATTAGCCATTATTAGTTTGTTTTTCTTTTTTCATTTTATATACAATGAATTTGCTTTAATCTTTCTCATTTTATGCACACTAAAATATATATGTATATTCTCTTTTTTAATTGTTATTGCAGAGACTTCTCAGTGATTTCATAAACTGGATAATTATAATCATAAATATATACATCGTATATCCTTTCAAATCGTACCGTGGGTAAGCACCAACCATTCCACTGTCTCTCTTTTACATTCCATTATTTTGAAAAAAATCTACATAGAGCCTAAAACACATAGGGAGGTTTCTCCAAATGTAATAAAGCTAGTCCACCGAACTTTGTTTCTGTCTGACATATTGGTCCCTTAAATACACAGAAAAAGAGAGCTACGAATGTTACGTGGCCGCGTAGCTGAATGGCACTCCAAAGAGCTGCTCCCATGTCTGTCCTACGGCATTCAGACAGCATTCGGCATTGGCATACGTTTCAAAGTTTAGTTTCCACATTTCGCACTTGTTTTCGGTTTCATCTATGAAGTTGATAACATATTCCACATCCGTTAGACGCTCCACATCCACTAGATTGCTCATGGGCTGCGTGAGACTTGGCTGCAAGTCGGGTTCTTGGTTCTTTAATGAAAGCCAATCCCATTTGCCATTACCACAGATATGCATGTGGGAATCGGTGCTTAAGAGTAGACAAGGTTCAAAGGACAATCCTTTCTCTTCGTTACAACTAGTCTGACAGCTGCCGAGGATTGCACACATTTTTACAGGCTCCGAGCAAACAGATTTCAATGCGGGGGATGACTGTTGCAACACTTTGCATTGCGTTGGTAGCGCATTGTCTGGGGAAAGGGTAAACAAAGAGTTAAATACGTTTAAATGCAATTCTTTAACTCCACTTACCTTGCATATAAAGCAGCAGACTGTCAGTCCTTAGCATATCCTGCAGCAGCACCACGAAGCCACCCCAATCTCTGAGGCTAAAGGATAGACCCAATTTCCAGGGCAGCACTCCAATGGCAACCAATCGATCCACCGTGACGCTGATGACCTGCCTCAACCATTTGGATACATCATCGTGGGGAGCGGCAAAGGCCTCCATTAGATACAATTTACAGGTGGACATCACTATGAGACCTTCGCTCAGCCTCTGTGTTTGTTCGTTGTAGATGCGTCCTTTCGCCAGCCATTTGAAGTGTTCGTCCTGCTCCTTGAATTTCGTTTGATAAAAGTACAGCTTCAGGCGATGATCAATGTCGTTAAAGTTGCTGTAATTGAATTTGTAAGGCTGCACGCCAGACGCTGTTGATGATGCACTGCTGGCCTCCGCCTCTACGAGTTTCTTTGAGCTCGACATTAAAAGGTTTGTGGACTGGAAGACGGAAGCAAAGGGCAGCTCGGCCACCTCTTCAGCTTTCTTTAAATGATTGTTATTGGAGGATTCCTTGACCGCTTCCTTTTGCTGTTCGTAGGTGGTGCATATGCTATCTGTTACGGAGCCCGAAGAGGAGCTCTCTGTTAGCTGCACTTGTGCTACCGCTGGAGGTGGTGGTGGTGCTGCTGCAGCTGCCGCTGCTGCCGCCTCTTCCAGTCTCATTTGCTGCCCAAATTCTCGCTCTATAAAGCTCTGCGTCTCGTCATGCAACGCCTGCAAATGCGGCAACTGCGATATTCGACGATCTTCGGAGGTTTTTCGACTGGCGCTCTGCACACAATTGGGATCCAGAACTTCGATAGACGATTGGCTTGGATTCGAGATGATATCCACATCACTTTCATTCGCACGAAACTCCAGATCTCGATCTGTATTGGAGCTACCCACCACCGACTGATTGGAGTCGAATGAGCTTTGGGAATTCGTGATTTTCGAACAGGAACTGCTTTCATTCAGGCTATTGGCCGAACCTATAGATGAAGGGAATTGAATATTGGATGTTAGTGGGATTTGTTATCAGTCTTCAAGGCTTTTTTAATGGAAGCAGCATTGGTTTTTAGTAATTTTCATTAAACGTTTTACAATTTGGAAAATATTGTCAGAAAGTACCAGGAAGTAGATGTTTAAGAGGTACTCCAAGGATTGATATATTACAAAAATAACAGATTATTTAAACCGCTAGAATATCACCTTTCCCATCCATAAATTTAAATTGCTTTTTTTGCCCCAAATGCTGCTTCACATCGTCTCATAATTGAAATAAAAATGTAAACGCAAAAAGCAAAATGCAAAAATTAAATGAAAAAGTAAAAGAAAAACTTAGTACAAATCATTGGCATATTAACTTTTAGTGGCTTGCATCAAACTCCTACGCTTGGGTGTGTTTTTAGCGGTGGTTTTAAGCCTGGAGAGGGCCACTATTAAATATTAATAATCAAATATATATATTACAATTATTATTACAGCAATTGTTCAGGTTATTTCGTTGGGTTTTGGTTTTTTGGGCATGAGAGAAACAATATTTAAATATTTAAAAAGCATGCAAAAGAAATAAGAAAGAGAAAGAATTAGAATTAGAAATGAAAATATGCAGATAGTTGTTTGAAATTTTTAGAATTTTAAGAGAAACCATAAAATCCATAAAAATAAGGCTACCAAAAGTTATTAAAGCTCTACTTAAAACAATTTAAAAATGGACTAAAAATTTATGAAATCTTTTAAAATCCACAAAACATGATTCGAAACTTTTCAAATTATTTTAAAAATTCACCGTAAACCATTAAAAGTCTACTACAAATCCAAAGTATTCAATTTCAATGGGAGTAAATATGGAAACAAATAAAAAATGCAAAAATGAAACCATAAACCATAGAATTCTAGCATCAAAATGAACTAAAATATAAAGTGGGTTTCAAAATGTTTCCAAAATTTGGTCAAAATAGATAACAAGACTGGCCAAGGACTTGCCAATGCTATTGGTTTCCTCCGTGGTCTGTGGTGCACCCACAGGTGTCGACTCCTCCACGATT